GTGTCGGACTGTGGACCTGTGGACCGAAGGGTCACAGGTTCAGTTCCAGTCAAGGGCACGTACCTTGGGTGCAGGCTCCCCAGCCTTCGCCCCACCACCTCAGCTGGGTACCTGGTCAAGCATATTCAGGAGGCAAATAATCAATGTGTTTCTCACATCAATATTTCTCTCTGTCTTTCCCTCTCTCTTCCACTCTCTCTCAAAAAAAAAAATCAATGGAAAAATATCCTCTGGTGAGGTATTGGAAGGAAAGAAGGAAGGGAGGGGAGGGAGGGAGGGAGGGAGAAAGCAGAATTCCTGACATCCCCTTTTGCAGAGAAGAGCCAACTTCTGTTTCATTGTGGAGTGCAAAGATAGAAACAAGCCTTTTACCCTATGCATAACACTTGAGACAGAAAACATTTTTGTGATCAATTTGTACGTGATCCTAGCACGTGGGAGAGATGCCGGAGCCACCAGTGCCCGTTCCACACACGCAGGAATAGGACCTGTGACAGGCAGTGAGCAGCCTGAGCCCAGGAGGCCAGGCACCAGCACCTCCGGATTATCCAGGCCCCACTTCATCTTTCTGGGTGAGGACAACAGGTTCTAGTGGCAACAACCTTTGAGCGCAAAACCTCCCTACCTGTGAAATGAACACTGAGGCGTTGTGGGTCAGGGTCAGGGTTAGGGAAAATGGTACGTGAACACCTGAATGGGCCTTGGGCAGGCCTAGCCTCAAACATTGGCCTGACTAGCTCAGTAAGCTTAAATAATTTGGATAAGTTCTTTAATTTGCTTAGTCCCCTTGGAAAGACTTATCATAATATATATAGTGAGCTATAAAATAGTGTATCCTTAGACCCAGGAAATCTTTCTCTTCAAATTTCTTTCTAAGTAGTTAAATGAAAGGGAGGGGGGAATATTCACTCCAATATTATCTATTTCAGAAAACTAGAAATGGAAATAACTCAGTAAGGGCAGAATTTCATACAGCAGTGTACATTAATTTGGTAGAAAATGCTGAGGCTATTTAGCACTGCTCCTAGGAACAGCATACGGAAATATAAAGATTAACAGACACCGTCTAAAAGATCACAAAAGGGAGTTATAATTAATGTGGATTCAAATTATGAAAAATATCGACGCACATGTTAACAAATCATGGAAGATACTAAAACGTTCCAAATATCCGTGTCAAGGTAAGATTACAAGTGGCTGTTTTGTTTTCCCTTTTGAAACTGAGGTGCCCACTCTTACTATTGTTTTTGCCACTGGGGGAAGAAAGTTAGCCAGAGGGCAACAAATTGAGGCCACCAGAGATTTTCTCTGTCACAGAGAAACCCTGGGGTTTAAGATAACAGGAAGCCTGAAAGGAAATGTCAGGTTAAGGAGGGTTGTGAGATTGTGAAGGAAGATGCGGCTGGGAACATTGGAAAGGTCAAGGTCTTTGCAGCCAGACAAGCCTGGACGCCTTTTAGCAGAAAACTGCCTGATTGCTGAGCTCCTCAGCTACCTTATCTGAGAAACCAAGAAAACAAAGCCGGCATTTCAGAGGCATTACAGGCTCTTGGAAAAATGTGTTCTTTTTATTATGTTATGTTACATTCATTGGATGGGGGTGATGACAGAAAAGAAGGTAAAGTACATTAGAAGGTATTACAATTACATAAATCAATGGCCATACATACATTAACTACAAACTAAAATGCTCTCTGAGAGAAATAGAAAATAAAAGACAGAAAAAAATCCTACTATGCTAAGTTTAAATAGGAAATGTCACGATGAACTTTTGACTTTTTTAAAGTGTATTTCCTAGCTCTTCCCACTGAAAAGAAAGAGGTGCAGTAACACACTAGTAACAATAAGCCAGTGCTCCATTTTAGCCTCTAAGCACCACTCCGATTTAAAAAGAATCAGGGCTTCTTAGAGAAAAATAGCGATTTCCAGGTCCGAGGGAGGAAAAACCCACGGTGGGCCTAGAGCATCTTATTTGCCAGGAACAAGGAGCACTCAAAGGCTAAGGAGGCAGGAGCCAGCCTGGAGGGACACCCACCGACCACACTGAGACAATTTTAGCATCTAAGGGAACAACAACAAAGATATAATACACTGCACTTAAAATAAACAAATCCATGAATTTGTACTGATATGAAAAGTGAAGAAAGAAAGAAAAGGTAATAGATGTAAGAAACCTTTTCTTCACCAAAGAATGGCAAACAATACAGACAGGATTTTTTTTTTTAATGACCATTTTTCAAACCCCAGTGTAATAACTGATTCAGAAAAGGATTATCATGGATGCAGAAACTATTGGGTGAAAAGTTGCTATGAAACAATACATCCACACTTTCTCAACGTATTCTATATGCTAATTACAAAACAAAAACGGCCCCATATAATGGAAATACCTAATGGTACCATCATTAGCAACTGATCAAACTTAGAATCATCAACGCTGCGACAGCGTGCCTCCTGAGAAGATGCAGCAGGTAGCAGAGTCTGTCCTAATCTACACCCCAAACTTGAACAGGCAGGTGTGAAGAAAGAATCAGGCAAGTCCAGAATGTGGGACCTTCAACAAAATCACTGGGCCAGGATTTTAAAAGTTAATGTCATGAGCCGAAACTGGTTTGGCTCAATGGATAGAGCGTCGGCTTGGGGACTGAAGGGTCCTGGGTTCGATTCCGGTCAAGGGCATGTACCTTGGTTGCGGGCATATCCCCAGTAAGGGGTGTGCAAGAGGCAGCTGATCGATGACTCTCTCTCATCGATGTTTCTAACTCTCTATCTCTCTCCCTTCCTATCTGTACAAAATCAATAAAATATATTAAAATAAATAAATAAATAAATAAAATAAAAGTTAATGTCATGAAAAAACATTAAAAGGCAAGGATCTGTTCTAGATTAATACAGCCCTGGCCAGTGTAGCTCAATGGTAGAGCACTGGCCCACAAATCAAAGGGTCAAGGGTTCAATTCCCTGTCAAGAGCACGTACATTCTGGGCCCCGGGTAAGGAGACAACCAATCAATGCATCTCTCTCATATTGATGTTTCTCTTTCTCTCTCCCTCTCTCTCTCCCCCCTCCCTCCCTCTCTCTCTCCTCCTAACCCTCCCTTCCATTCTGAAAAAAAGGGAAAATCCTCCAGTGATGGAGAGAGAGAGAAAGAGAGAGAGAGGGGGGTGGGGGAGGAAGAGAGAGAGAGAACTAAATGTAATATAAAAACCTTAACTGGATTCTGGATTTTAGAAAAAGGAGATGAGGCATTTGAGAGAGGAGATGGGCAGAGAGATATGGCATGCTTGAAAATGGACTACATATCAAATGTTATTTGGCATGATTATTAATTCTCCTAGGTATGATCATAGTGTGGTGGTTGTGTAGAAGAATGTTCTTAGTGTTAGAAGATAAATGCTCAAGTCTCATGATGGCTGCAACTTACAATTTAATAGTCCAGCCAAAAAAGGAACTTATGCGTGTGCACGTTTGTGTGCAGAAAGTATGGATGTAAAAGCAGAGGACAAAGGTGGAAAACTGTTAACAATCAGTCAATCCAGATGAATGGCATGTACTGGGTGTTCATTGCATTCTTCTGATTTTTGTATAGTTTAAAAAATTTTAAACTATCAAGGAAAAGAAAAAGATCTTAATCACTGAGTCAGATCATTTATGTTGCATAAGTTGGTCACCCTTCATCTGAATCATTCACACAGAAGGTATGGAGGCAACCAAATTTTCTCAAAAATAAAAATAAATAAAAAATGTTTGCTAGACTAATTCTATGTCCTATCTAGGTTTTGTTGCTTTCGTGGACTAGTATGAAATATATTTCAGCCTCACCCTGTACCATCTAGCAATGACCCCGCCTTGGGATGGAGACAGAACACAGAGTAACCCCAATAACTGCTACTAGGTCAGAGAGAAAAGGCATAACACAGCCATCCTCCAGGAAACAACAGCAAGTGTAACTGCCGACGTCCACCCCACTCCTTCCCACTCTGCAAAACCTTCATTTTAGAACAGGTTATTTCTGAGAGTGATGAGACAACCGATAGATAACTAAAAAAAAAAAAAAGGGAAGTGCTGGTAAGAACGGAGAGCATTCATGGCACAACAAGAGATTTCATGTTGGCTGTATCTCAAGCCAATGCATGTGGGAAAATCCGACAAGTGACAGATAAAGGCACAGAGCTAGAAAAAGAAAAAAAAAAAAAAAAAAAAAAGCCACCTCAGAATGGCAGGTAACTGTATTCTGTCCAAGGGGTAGGTGCTGGCAAGGAGCAAGAACGGAAGACTGGGAGGCCCACCATGGTTTAGACAGAGAGGCTGGTTCCTGTAGGTTATAGGTGGCGATGAGGGGACTTTGCTGGTGTTCATATCAGTAAGGGTGCGGAGTCCAAACTTCTGTGCTTTGTGAAAAAAGCCGACTGCAATCTAAGACAGCTTAGGCAAGACTCCTGTTTAAAATGTAAACCGAGAAGGCTGGCAGGAAAAACAATCCCAAGGCATTTTGCCAAGTGTCCTACTGAATTTTAGATGGTTTGGTCTTTCTTTTCCAGCGTGGTTAGCACGCTTTGCATGGGGATTTGGAATCATATTACTCAGTCCGTTACTAGTAGCATTTAATCACATGTTAGATTTAAAAGTTATTGGAGCAGAGGGAAATATTAGAGAAAAGTTATATTCTTAGAGCTATGTTTTTATATTTTTTTACAGTTCCTTTAAAAAATACCAACATAAATACAAACACTCTGGGATATCTTCATACCACTTATCAACTACAACAGTCCCATGAAACAATAAATAGTACTTTAAACTGTATTAAGAAATACACATGCAAAATCCACATCTGTGATACAAATGCATTAGGAAATATTAAAGTTATTATTTCTAAAATAATGTATTACTTGAAAATGCTCTTAAGAGATGGGAAGTATATGCAGACTTCCTAATCTTTAAAGCAACAGAAAACTGTTTCAAGCAAAAATATTAAATGAGATAATAAGAAATAAACATACCCATCCTTGGTTTGATCCACTACCCCGCTTAAAAGTTCCACAGCCTTTGGATTAGGCTTGCTTTCTCCAAAAATGTTCAAATATCGAGTGACAAAGTCATCGGGAGACATGAAAAATTCACCATTCTTCTCAATGCTTGCATACTGTTTTAAAAAAAGAGAAAGAAGAGATATTTTATTCTCAGAAGTACACAATTGTAAGATGAACAGGTGGAAAAGCTGAAATATTCAAAGGATAACATATCAGATACGATAATATTCACTTCACAAAAGCTATTTTCCATCACTTCAAAGAAAAAGCGAAAACTTAAGTATGCCAAGGTTCATGTTTATACCAGTGGTTCTCCTGGGGGCAGCTTAGTCTGATGGACAGCTTGCGAATGTCAATGGCCCCTAGTAGCTGAGTACAACCAGCGAGGAGGAGCTGTCTGCGTGTTAACCTGCCTTCATGGGGGTGGAGTTCTCCAGCTCTGAGCTTCCTCTGCTTGTCAATATTTCCCCCACGGGGGACACCTGGCAGTGTCTGATGACAGTTTTGATTGTCATACCTCAGGGAGAGGAATGCTACTGGCACCTCACTACTAGAGGACAGGGGTTCTGCTGAATGTGGTACAGGGCACAGACGACCCCTTACAAGAGAGTATCCAGCCCACAATATCAATAATGCTGAGGTTGAGAAATTCTGGATTACAACCTATTTCTTGTTCTTTAGCAAGGATATAGGGCTTTTATTAAAAGTGGGATTTAATTATGAAGTCATTGATGAATATAATCTAATTCTTTTGCCCATTTCTGCTTCAAGGACATCAAGGATGTAAGAAAGAGTGACAAGGCACCCTCTCCCTCCAGGGAACACACTCGCACCCCTCTCTCCCCCTTCTCCTTTCCTCCCCTCATCCTCCCAGGCATGCATCCCCTAACTTCTAAGGAACCCAGGAGACTTGCAACCAGGAGAACAATGGGCAGAGGCAGCTCGTCCAGGCTCACCCTCAAACCTGTCTCCAAGGCCCCATTTTTCACTTGATTTCCCGGTGAGCCTAGTTCTCTCCTGTTGCTTCTTCTGTGCTTAGCCCTTCCTTGTTCCCCTATCCCCCATTTTAAAAATGTACCCTCAAAGTAAAAAACAAACAAAGGAAGAAGGATGACAAACAGGCTGAGCTGGAAGAGACTGTTAACAGCATGGCTTCTTGTAGGGCTGTAGGAAGGGGGTAGGAAATGCTGCTCTAATAGAGTCCTCTTCATTCTAGAGCAGAAATGGTCAGTAAGGATTAGTGGCGTGTGACGGTTTTTCACAGCGTTCCCCAGGTCTGGCCTTCAGCGTGTTACACTCCAGCTCGTGGAGTTGGGACCTGCTCATTCCTGCTTTGTGGAGCCCTGGGTGTTGTGGGCAATGTTGAGAAACGACTTAGCATCGTATGTTTTCCTGTGGCGCAGGGAAGGGCCCCTTGGTCCTGGAGACACCGCAGTGATCTCAGGGATGTGGAGGAGGGAGGACAGTGAGCTACACAAAGAACAGGGATAGGCGGGTGACAGAAGCCAAACTGATGGCCGAAGAGAAAGGGGCGCACAGTGAACAGCGTTTCCAAGTGACCTGAGCCTCTCTCCTTAACCATTTTGAGACGTTTTAATACAATTAAACGTATACGTATAAAACAGGAAGGCTTTTAGGATTCCTTGCACAACCCAATATGCTATAAATGGGATGGTTAATTTTGTGTCAACCTGACTGGCCAGCAGGTGCCCAGGTGAAACATTTCTGAGTGTGGCTTATAAAAAGTGTATCTGGGTGACATGCACCTGAATCTGTGGACTCAGTAGTGGGACTGCCTTTCCCAGGATTGGACGGGCATCATTTAATCCACCGAAGGCCTGAGAGAACAAAAGTTGGAGGAGGGAAGAACTGGTCCCTTTTTTCCTGCCCCCTTGCCTGAGCTGGGACATACCTTTTCTGGGCCTCACCCTGAGATTTACATCATCAGCTTCCTTGGTTCTCAGGCCTTCTGACTTGAACAAGTTACATCACCAGTTTTCCTGGATCTCCAACTTGCAGGCATCATGGGACTGCGCAGCCTCTATAATGGATGGCGTAGGCCAATTCCTCATAATAAATATGGATGGATGGATGGATGGATGGATGGATGGATGGATGAGTGGATGGTTGGAGCTAGACATGAAGATATCTCCTACTGAGGTCCTTATGCTATCTTGAGAAGAATAATTTTCTGAGACTGCACGGGAGAATGATTTTTATTTACGTGGTTGACATGCCTATACTATATGGCCTTCCCTTTGCTCCTTTCCTGTTATTAATAACTAACCCTTTAATAACACCCTTTAATTACAGTGGTATCAAATACACATCTGTTTAAATCAACATGAATCAGCATCAAAAGTGTTAAGCAGACAACAAAATTCATGGTAGAAGCAAAACTGACCACACCTAGTCTTTAATTTCCACTCCTGGACAAAACATTAGCCGGCACTTACCTCAAGAACAGCCTGCACAGTGAAGCTCAATGGCCTTCCGGAGAAACGTTTACAGTAAGTCCTGCCCTACTTACCATTCCAGTATCATTGCCCAAAACCCTATGCTCCGGGCCACCCCACACTCCTGGTACTCATAGAGCACAAGCTCTTCCTTTGCCTAGAATGTTCTTCCTTTGTCCCAGAAAGCTCTTCTTCCTTCTCCGTTTGATAAATAAACGCCTACTCATCTTCAAATGCAGCTCAACCACCACCACCTCCCTCTAACTTCAATGACTCTCTCCAGGGAGATATAATTAGCCCCTTATCATCTTCCTGCTAATTAATGCTATAAAATGCTTATCATCCATTTAATGGCTTTATCTTTTTATTACACTTTACCTTTCTATTGCACTGTGAAATATTTAAGTGCAGGAACCATAATTTATACACTTTTATATACCCCATACCTCTCACACTACTTAACATACAGTAAACACCTTCAAAAAAAAAAAAAGAAGAAGAAGAAGAAGAAGAAGAAAAAACTGAAGTAGAAATTAACTCAAAAACTCAACATAAGCCTTTTAGTCCTCCAGGACCCCTCTCTCCTCATCTGCCTCGGTTCCACTGGCTCTCCCATCTCCACAGCTACCAGGTCCCCTGCCAACAGCCCTTCTGTCCAAGGGTACAATGATGCTTCTCTTCACATCCCCCAAGCTACGGAAGAATCCTCTACCCAGGTTAACAGAGAGAAGGCTGGGATATCTATTAGAAAGAAATATCAGGGGGGCCGAAACCGGTTTGGCTCAATGGATAGAGCATCGCCTTGGGGACTGAAAGGTCCCGGGTTCGATTCCGGTCAAGGGCATGTACCTTGGTTGTGGGCATATCCCCAGTAGGGGGTGTGCAAGAGGCAGCTGATCGATGACTCTCTCTCATCAATGTTTCTAACTCTCTATCTCTCTCCCTTCCTCTCTGTATAAAATCAATAAAATATATTTAAAAAAAAAAAAAAAGAAAGAAAGAAAGAAATATCAGGGGAAAAGTCAGAAAATCTGCCAAGTAGTCAGAACGCTGATGGCTGGTCCGTAATTAACTATAAAACCCAGCCCCCGCGGAGACGTGCCTGGCACAGTCCCCGGGGCGCCTCGCTCCTCTTCTTCCTCCACCACAGCACCGTCTGCGTCTGCGGTAGATGGTAAACAAGAGATCCTCAGCGTGCTGAGCCAAGGATTTGCAGCGGTACCACACTACCCAGGCCTGATGAGGTCACCCGAACCTTTGCCAGATCCACAATCCCTTCCAGAAACTGCTGACCGCTGTTTTCTTCAGGGTCGGTTCTCCCCACATCATCCTCTTGGACTCAAAGTCATACTGAAGTCTGGCTCAATAGCCAGGTAGCCCTAGCCACCCCCTAGGGAGGACAGACAACACTTCCCCACTGGGTTCCATAGATCCCACCCCAGCCCACAGGCCCACTTACCCAGTAACCCCAGAGCTGGCACTCCAAAATCCAGCATGGAATTCCTACCCTCCCCAGGGTCTGCTTGACCAATCGGATTTGTTTCTAGTATAGACTTGCCTGCCATTGAGAAACTACATCTGGAAAGGACATATTGTCCCAAAGTAGGATCTTAACCTAGCCTTGCCAGCTGCCACATGGCCTCAAAAGGTAGACACTGCTTTTACCTGGAGCCTCTCCACTGATTACGCCAAAAGACTAGTGAAGCCCTGACTGGTTTGGCTCAGTGGATAGAGCATCGGCCTACAGACTGAAGGATCCCAGGTTCGATTCCGGTCAAGGGCATGTACCTTAGTTGACGGCACAGCCCCAGTAGAGGGTGTGCAGGAGGCAGCTGATCGATGTTTCTCTCTCATTGATGTTCCTAACTCTCTATCCCTCTCCCTTCGTCTCTGTGAGTACATCTAGATGCACCATCTGCTGAGACACTCGGAAAGCTGTTAAAAGGATGTCTGTGACTACTGCTGGTTTAGAAAACAGAAATGCGTAACAGACAGGTCTTGAGTTCAAAGATAGGTCTTATGGCTTTGCCAGCTCAAGGTAATGAACTTGACTCTTTTCTCTAGGCTCTTTGGCAACCCACTCACATGCTCTTCTGCAAGTGATCTTCTAGAATGACATCATTCAAGTTTTTCGATAAAGACCTTAAATATACATTCTACAAATATTTGAGGTTCCCTCATCTACACCTGATCCCAATCATGGTGGGCCCGAAATGCATAACAGACACTGGTCTAGGTGTTTCCTGGACTGTCAGTATCCAGAATCACTTTCCACCTTAGAATCTCTATATTGTATTGTCCTTTGGGGCCAAGAATAAATTTATAAAAGGTTTCTGCTTTCTTATATATAATCCAAGTCTCCTTGTAAATATACCCTTTTTTCCCCTCTCCCCAAAACTGCTCATATTTTTAATCACTTTCCTTTGGAGACTTTGTCTCTCTGTGTTTGAATTATTTCACTGTAAACATTTACTGAATCAATATCTAATGTAAATCAGGTGCTGGGCACTTTCACAAAGTTTTTTTCATTGAACCTTTACAATCTTTGGAACTTATTATGAAAATGTTCAAAGCACACAAAGTAGAGAGAATAGTATAAAAACTTAATATTACATTTCTCAATTTCAAAAATTATCCTCATACTGCCTGCTCATTTTTCCCTATCCCGCCAAAACTGGATTTATAAAAGCAAATCTCAGATATCATAATCTCTGTAAATACTTTAGTGTGTATCTATAAGAGAAAAAGATTCTTTATGGCTCCCATAAACACTCAATCTTGAATAATCCTGTCAGTGTTTAAATTCCCTGATTTTTTCTATTTTTTAATGGAAATGCATACTGATGAAGAAAGTGATGTATATAAAATTATTTAACTTTTAAAGACATATATTCTCAGTACACAGCAGATTATTAAGTTTCTTATTCAAAGCCTGGTCTTCTTTATATACTATAGCACAGTTACCTTTTGTATGTTTAGAAGAAGGATACAAAAGTACTTTTAAATTTATCTTTATAAAAGTGGCCTTCTCCTTTTTTGAGTACTGTGATTCCAGATGAATGGCATTAAAAGTGGTTCAGTTTTTGGAATCTGAGGTAGACTTTTACTGGAGGATTAATCATTCGCTGTGCAATATGGCAAAGTAGGCGAAACTAGAAGAAACTAAGGCTATAAACTTGCATGGTGTCTGTTGTGATCTCATATCTAGCATTACTCATACTGAGGCCTCCCCACCAGGCAGCACCACTGTAATAAAATGATGATGATGATGACAATGATGATGATGGGCTTCTGGATGAAAGAAGGATTACTGAAGTGTTTACAAAGAGCTTTAAACTGCTTAGGAGAAAAAGCATTACCATCAAACCGCACAAGTCAACCTGGGAAGGTAAATGGGTTGGGAGACTAAATCCCCCAGGAACTCCTTTTCAATACCTGACACCATGTGAGATAAGAGAAATGAAAATGTAAACATATCACAAACCAATAACACAAGTTTTAAAAAAACAATAGGTATAATTGTTAAGGATCTCTTTTATGAGTCTCAAGTAAAGATACTTTGGGGGATTCTTAAGAACTACAACAATAAAATAAAGAGCTGCTTAAAGGAATAGTCTTTAAAAGTTACAAAACACAAATCACCCAAGAAACAAGATAGATTCCTTTATACTGACCTTCAAAAATATTGTTCTGAGCTCAGCGGGATCTGCTCGCTTGGTTAAAGCCACCTACAAATAAACATAAAGACATTTGTATTATTAGAACAAAGCTGAGAAATCAGGCTAGCGAGCGACTGAAAGAAATAAACTCCAGGTCAGAAATTAGAGGATTTCAGTTTTTGTACTTAAACAGTAAGTTCCCCAGTACAAAACCTACTTCCTGAATTTTAAATTAGACTCCATATGTGGCTTCATGAATGCTAACATTCTGGGCAAGCAACCGGTAAAGCTCCAAATATGTAGTAGTGTTGAATGCATACCTTTTTTTTTTTTTTTTTCCTCAAAAAGAAGAAGGGAAAAAAAAAGTTGAAACAGATTTTTAATCATCTGGCATTTTAAAACTATACTCCAGAGTGACCCCTACCCTTTCATAGGGGAGTAGTAAATATTAAAGTACAATCTGTTGGTTAACTCTGCAAGAAAAGATAATTCTTAAAGAAGTTAGTGAACAAGGCAAGTCATATTAACAAACACTACCTAAGTCAGAATTAACAATCCTGAATTAGGTAGTGTTCTTTACTGTTCACAGTGCCACCAGGAGCAGGTGGGAGTGTCCCAGCTCTCTGGGCATGCCAAGCGAAGTCTCCTCCTCTGCTTGGCTTTGAATTTAAGAAGACAAAGGTCTCCAAAGGTATGGCTATTATTCTCTACATTCTGGAAATACAAGGGGCTATGGCTACCTTTCAAGAGCAAAATGTAACAGATTAGCTCAGAATAGGTGTTGTGCTTAATTCTCCAGCCCACAAAGTCCAAAATCATCACCGGGGGAAAAAGCAAGACAAACTTGAACGTGGCTGCCCCAGGCCAACACAAAAGAGTCCTTATGTGGAACCAAACAGTGGGCTTATTCAGCGTCCCATCACCCAGTCCTGCTGGCAAAACTGTCATGAGACTGAATACTCACCAAGCACGGCGTCACCCCACGACAGAGCCAAGAGGGGTTCCTGGAACCACCCCAATACTCGAGCCATGGCGCTATCCACGGGGAGATTTATGCAAATTGTTCTAAAAAATCCCTTCTGTGTGTTTGCAAAGACTCTTCTGAGATCTTTGGACAATGGGTTCTCTGTCTCTCAGTGTGTAATGTCTGAGTTCCTTTGCCCACCACTGTTGGGAATAATTTTATTAACTAATCACTGGAATGGGAGAGGTACTCTTTGGAAACCAGTGGTTGGTCACCTTCTTTTCCAAAGAAAGACTGATAACTCTTTTAATTTCAGCTGAGCACTTGTAACCACCAGTGCTATTTTTAATCCATAAGGATTTGTGATCTTTTAAAAATTCTGAATTAGGTAGTGTTCTTTACTGTTCAATTAAGAAGGGGGGGAATAGCCTGCTAACCAACCTAGGCCTGATGATAATGCTGATCTAACACTGCAGGAGGAGATCCCCCTGGCAGGTCCAGTCTGAGGAAGGTGGAGAAAATGAACACTATAGGGAGGGGATGGAACAGGATAAAAATGCCTCCAGCTCGTCTTTGAAGAGCAGACATTACCTCCGAGCTCCACATCACAGGGCAGTCCATAAGTAACATTTGTTAAAAGGCATATGGTGACCTGAGTTGGTTTTCCTTTTAAAAGCAAGGGAAAGTTTCCACAAAGTGAACTATTCTTGCTCCCTCTGAATACCACATCCTTTAAAATGTAATTAATTCTCTCTGTCATAAAGCCTTCCCTGGGCAGTGCTCTTTCAGAGTGGGTTTCTCCTGCCCTGAATTCCCACAGCTCTCCTCTCCTTGCTGATCCCCAAACGCACACTCAGCGCTCACCACCAGGACTGCACGCCTCCGAGGGAGAAAGGAGCAAAGCACTGCCCTTGTAACTCCCAGAGCCTCCCTCCGACGCAGGAGGAAATCCATACAGTGACTCAACATGTGTAAGGCATTGTGTGCAGAGCATTTCATGGTGTTCAGACCATGACTCTCACCTCATGGGAACCTCACAGCAACCCTGGAACTCAGAGAGAGCCTATCATTATCCTCATTTTACCAAAGGAAAACTAAGACTCAGAAAGGGTCAACTATTTCCCCCAAAACCAGATTAGCACCAATCTGTACTCACATTTTTATGTATTTGAAATCAGATCTCAAATCTTCCATCTTTGACTGATCCACATTACATACAGCTTCACACTGATGATAACTTGTGTTAACCACTGACATAACACAGTACATGCCTAGAAATCAAGATTCTCCCAATTGCTCCTACCACCACCAATGTGTCATGCCCATCCAGTGCTGTGATTAAGAACATGGCTTTAGTGCCAGATCACCCTCTTTTGGGGGCCAGGTCCAACCTAAACTAACTAGCTGTGTGACCTTGAGCTACTTCCCTGACCTCTTAGCTTCACTGTCCTCACCTACAAAGCAGGAACTCCTCCCTGGGTGGTTAGAGGGGTGATAGGAGACAATCACATAAAGTGCTGAGCATCAACACCCCCAAACAGTTAAAGTACTCAATAAGTGGTTATATTACTTGTATTATTTATCCACGTGTTTATATTCTATCATTCTTACTCCTAAAAATGTCTAAATAATGAATAACCTGGCTCATAACTTGAGAGGAGAAAGTAATTCAGGGTCTTCAAAAATATTCACCAAAGCTCTAAGGGAACCTACAGGCCTTCCTAACTCATCATTCCACCTACTATCCTAGCTCCATCGCTGGCTATTTCTTGAAAACAGACTCAAAGTCTCAGGGTCAGCACATAGTGAACGATCACTGTGGCACTTCCCTGAGGCCCACTGAAATGTGTATTGGGTCCTGGACACTTTCCACTGAAGCACAGATAACTCCGGTTCAACAGGAAGTGGATTCAGACACACTCCTGAGCCTCACCTCTGCACCAATCCCATCTATTGCCACAGTGTTGTGTGGCCACTCAAAATGTCCATTTTTCTCTTCTACCTCCTGTTCTCACCTTCTTTTTTAGTGTCATTTCAATGGCTTCATAGAAGACAACGTAAAATTGCAGTCAGAAGTGCCAGTGTTCTGAAGGTGTGTTGAGATGTATTCTACCTAGTGGTGAAAGCAATACCCAGGTAGTTCTATGAGCTAGAAAGAGGCAACCACAGAGAGGAGGCCTCCCTTTTGAACCAACTCAGAATAACTGCTCAGCAGGCGCAGTGTGCATCACTTGATAAGCTTTAGTTCACTGGGCTTTGGAAGAGTTAGCAAACTTTAGATTATTTTCATAAGACTTATTTTCATTGTTATATATCTTTTTCTGATATACTAACAGCTTGTAACTGCTTAAAGCTACAAATCTTAATATCTAATTGCTTGATTTTATCATTACATTTCTTAATTTTGCATTATAAGAGTAGATTCTACGGCCAGGGACCGTGTGGCTCAGTGGCTGAGCATTGACCTATGAACCAGGAGGTCACAGTTCTACTCTGTGGTCAGAGCACCTGGTGCCAGACCCCTCCATTGGGGGTGCAAGCTTCCTGGTTGCCAGCTTAATAACCAGTACGGGCATGCAGGAGGCAGCTGATCAATGAGTCTCACATCATTGATACTTCTTTTCTTTCTATCCTCTCTCCCTCTTCCCTTCCTCTCTGAAATCAATATTGTCTATATATATATATATATATATATATATATATATATATATATATATATATATATTAAAGTAGGAATTAAATCCACTTTGGGCAGTCTGACTCACCAGCAACTGATTGTCAGAGCACATGTGCTCATTCCATGAGGAAATTTTCTCCCTGGTTTGATATGACTCGGTCTAAAATCTCAATGGATTTCAAGCTCAATCAAAAGGAATATGGGTATATTTAATGACAAAAGTATATACACTATTAAGGGAATGCTGTCTACGGTTTAACAAGTCCTCTAGTTGATCCTGGTCCTGTTAAAGTTTAAGAACCACAACTTTAGCTACTGTCCAATTGTGTTTCATCCAAATCACCTGAGGGGCTTTTAAATTTTGTCAATACTCTACCAAAGGCCAATCGAATTAGGCTATCTTTAAAGCTTCCCCATGAGAGCATAATGTTTGGCTAGATTGAGAACCACTGGGTTAGATCCCAAGGTTGTCACCTCAGCTTGCTACTTCACCAACTGCACAACACAGCCTTCACTTAGCAATACTTCCCCCAATACCACCCCCCACGCCCCCACCAAACCTAAAGGTCTGAAAACCAAGACAAGCACAGGCTTACACTGAAAACCCTACTGTCATGGAGCAATTACAGCTCATCAAAAGCAGGCTAGTGTGTGTGTGTGTGTGTGTGTGTGTGTGTGTAGCGGGGGGAGGGGGGGAGATGTGGTTGTGGGGGAGAAAAATGTGCACATACACACATGCAGGCATGCAGTGACAAGCAGGAATAGGAGGTGGAGGGAGAAATGTTCCTGCATAGTCTTTTTGTCCCTGTGGAAGTAGTGTAACAAAATCTCAATGGAAAGTACTACTGGTGTGACCTAACAACTTAGAAGCGTCTTCCCATGTACCTTCCTGTACTATAAATATAAAGACTGGAAGGCTTTTTTCCAGGCTCCCTTGCAGCTATGTGGTCTCGGTTCTGTCCTATTAGATGAAGTTGGGTGAGATTTAAAAGCCAGAGTTTTGGAAAGCAAAGATGGGGAAGTTAGGGGCCATACTTTTGCTGTTTCTTAGCAAGCACCATCATACAAAGTGTCTGATTTTCCAGTGGCAACCTCCTACCCATGCCAATGGCAGCATGGTTCTGAAACACTCCCCATTAGTCAGGTGGTTTCATGACTGCACAAGAGGCAGCTACTTCCTTGGTGGCCTGCTCTGTTGTGATGCTCTTGGGAGTCATTCCTGAGAGCTCAACCTAAAGTCTGTTTCTTCACCTTCCCAACAAGTTCTGGAAGCCATTTAATACCCTGTAATAAAACTCCCTCTGCTTAACCCAGCTAGAGTGGATTCTGTTCTCTGCAAGTGAACCTTGACTGATACAATCAGTAATTACAAAAGAAAGTTTAGAATTCCCCAAAACCACAGTTACCATTAACTTGCAAGGAAGAAAG